GGTCAGAAAGAGTGATAGAGGTCAGAAAGAGTGATAGAAGTCTGTCTCCAAACACAAGCAGCTACAGAAATAACACCAGAAATAGAGGCTTGATTTGTCTCTAGTCGTTTTTAACAAAGAAAATTCTGCTAAAAGGATTAATAAAGTCTCTGGTTCAGCTCAGAACAGAAACAAAACTAAAAACTGCTCCACTGAACGTTTACACCAAAAGATCTCTGATTCGTTCATTTCGCTGTCAATCAAAAAGAGATTCAGCCTCAGACAGATCATCCAATCATCATGTAGAAGCTGAGTGTCTGAGCCAGCCCCCTGCTCCATAGACCCCCAGAGACGCTCAGCGTCCGATGGGCAGGACAAAACCAGCATTTATCCAATGACTCGTCTCGCTTCGCTGCAGTCTTTGCATCACTAATGAGCTCTGTGGAAGCTCAGCGTCTGACTGTTTAAAGCTGTGAAGCTGCGGGAATGAGTGAAATGAGGAAATGAGGAAAGCTGCGTCGTTATCAGCGATAAGAAGCTGATTCTGAACAAAAGTTGAGCGTGTTGTAGTGCATATTTAGTCAATGACATGTCCACACAACAGTGTTTATTTTATTTTATTTTATTTTATTTTTTGGGGAAAGCTGAGCTTCCCTTGCAATCTTAGAGAAATCACCTCTGCTGTGAAGTGAGAAAAGGTCTAATGTGATGAAGGTTTGCAAAGTTGAATTCTTCTACTCTAGCAGTCTTTGTAATATGATGCCTGAAAGTCAGATTAGAGTCAAACAGAACATCAAGGTACTTGCACTGATTGAACACATCAAGTCTCTCTCTGTTAACTTGGTTTTGGGTCATCTGCTTGCTGGTGTGAATAAATAGTTTTTTTTAATATAATGATGTAAACATGAACCATGAAGCCAGTGGGGTACTGGTACCACAGCAGCAGCTGCTTCCTACTCTGGTTCAACAGGTGTATACATCACAGTATCATCTGCATATCACTGAACTTTGAAACAAATCTATTATAGTATAGTCTAAAGCAGGGGGGGTCAAACTCATTTTCACTGAGGGCCACATGAGCGTTATGGTGGCCCTCGAAGGGCCAGTTGTAATAAACGTTGATGTTTCATGTTTAACTTTGACTAAACAGAGTTTTAACACGTCCTCTTTTAAACACTGATAAGAACTAAGTGTATGACTGCCTAAATCTGTAATAAACACAGAAATATTATTAAAAGTAAAATAAAGTTTTACTCACTGATGAGTTTCTAGTGAGTAGCTACATTATGTCAGATTTAGTTTATGTTTGATGGTGACTTTAAAGCAACTTATTTTCAGACATTAGTTCTGTGCTATACAACTAACTTACTCAGTTACTTCAAGCCAACAGCTCAGGGACTGGAATTTTGTTTAATTTATTTTAATTTTATTTATTTTTACTAAATTAATTTTATTGCATTTAACCATAAATTTAAAGTTTACCATTGATATAAG